GTATATAAGCCCTGAGGTGATAAAGGAGGTGTGAAGCTGTCACTCAGGAGGTGTCAAACTCCTGAGCAGAGAGATGTCTGAGAGCGGCGGAGAGGAGTGTAGAGAGGGTGAGGAGTGAAATTAAAGATGATGGGATGAGACGAGACGAGACAGGAGGAGGACCGGACAGGACATGTGTCAGTGCTGTGGGACGACCTGTGCCATCCCTGATTAACGTCCTCCTATTTAAAAGGAAACAGCTCAGTTGTTCTGTTGTTGCTCCGGAAAGAGTTCAGCCAGGAGGGAACAGGACGATATGAAGAAAGGAAAAGATGTCGTTCGACTTATTGCTTTAGCAAATGATTGTGGAAAAACTACATATCAATAAACATGTTATTTTATGAACGCTCTGCATTTCTTTCTTCATTGACCCCTCAAAGAATTGCAGTGAAGACCTACTCACGGAAAAATATTCAGGACATAAAACTGATCTGATTTTTATTCAAATTTAAACTAAAGTTTAAAGAACACATTTTTGTCATTTCATGTTTTTAATTTTGTCTTTTCATGTCCATTACAGTGGACAGCATGACTAAATGAGAGTAAAACATCATATCTTGGGGCTAAAAAGGGCTTGTTTTTARTATGAAATTCATGCAATTACTAATGACCTCAACAGATATAGTTGTGGATAATAAAACTTCAAGCAATTCCTTTTGCCTTCAGTGATCCAAACTGAAACTCATAAATGCATGGTCATACATTTTAATTGTAATCAACCACATTTCAACTGATTGTACAATAACTGATTCTGAACAGTTGTTTTCTTGGTATTTCATGTCATCACAGATTCTCTTCTGGTAGCTACATATTGTTTGAAATATTTCATAGGAACTCAAGGATGTCTGTTGTGAATTGGAGGATTCTCCAAAGAAGATTCAGTGATTGTTGTGAATGATGATGTAGTTATGTTTGCCTCTGATAAGAACCAGTCTTTTTCTGTTGCTCGGGCACTTTTATTTAAGTAGGTCTGCTCACTGAGCACCTCAAACAAATCTCACACAGGTCTCTCTCTCTGTTGTCCATACTTCACATTTRTACTTTCACATAGACTCGTGGTTGCCACCTAGTGGACACAAGCATAATGCTTTCAATCATCACATCCCATTCTCTTTAAAGAATGTTACAAAATAACCTTTTCATAACAATAATCACATTTCCCATGCAGCAAATGCAGCATAATACAATAACACTACTTCAGCGTACCTACGTTTAATGCATACATTAACCTTAACACATTTTATTRTGTGTTTGTGTGTCACATAATCTTATGCTTCCTGCTTTTTCATCTCATGATCATCTTCCCTTCTGATTACTGTCATCTCCTCTTGATTCTCTACCACTGACTGTCTTCTATCTCMCCTCAATTTCCATCTCAAGTTCTCCTGGTGCATGGACCTCTCCATCATACCTCTCATTTATCTCACTCTCATGAGTATATTTTAACTATTTTTTTAGATTCTTGTACTTGTACTATTCCAATTGTTGCAATTTAGAGCTTACATACAGAGAATAAAACAGATAAAACCTTGCATTATGAGTTTAAAATAGTATTTACTTCTAAGTTTACCATCTAGCTTTCTCCTGGTCCCACATACCTCATGTCCTGAATCCAAGCTGTCAGTATCAGATAACTCTTACTTTACAAGCAATTCAAGGAAGTCTGTGACTTTACACAGAAAATTTAAAAATAAAACATGAAAAATATTAAAGAAATGAATTGTGAACTCACAATTCAGCTATGAAATATTTGCAGGTAATTTTCCTTTGTATTGTACCTTTCAACAATTAGTGTTGGCTAACATAGTCCATCTCCTGATGTCCACTGAGATGAACMGTCAACTTTGACAAAATCCTACAATTTCATAATAGAAAACATTTTTAAAACAACTTCAAATCCTATCACTTAAAATTGTTAAAATTATACTGAGATCAATTTTATTAGGTTAACATGAAGTTAAGCTTATATTTTTGATGGAAAAATATACCTACTCCTCCTGTTCTCCAGCTTCATTGGCAGACTCGTCTCGTCATAAGGCTGAAGTTAACTCACTTTACTTCAATCTAATTTTATAATCAGGAACTAATCAGTAACAGGAATCATTCAAATGAGGAAAACACTTTATTGGTTTTAGGCCTAGAACTATGATGCCCATTCCAACGAATGTGGGGTCTGAAGGGAGCAACTTAATCTACAGAGAGATAACTCACAAGTGGAAAACATTTAGGACAGCTGTCAGTMTTTTCAGGCATGGACATCTTAGCAAACTCACCCCATGATCAAACTGTACAAATGACAACAAAACACTTAGAGCTCAAACCTCAGCCTCAGTTAGCAGATTAAACCTTTATGATAGGACACTTAGAAGAAAAGGTCATAAGTAGGGCATATTTGGAAGGTTTGCCTTTTTTAAAGAATAGGGCAGCATGACTTACATTTTGTTTACTCAGAATGCATCACAGAAAGAAAACATATTGATAGTCCTCAGCTCATAGAACTTTACAGCCGTGCAGCACAAAGGAAAGTAAGCTGTCTTCACAGAGAATTCTTCACCAGTCATTTCAACTTTTGCCTTCAGGTAACAGTTTTAGGGTATGCCTGGCCAAGACAAAAACTTATTACAAGTCACTTTCCAAACTACAATCAAAATAAAGGAAAACGTTATGGTTTTGCAAATTTTTCTAGGTTTTTAGGTATTTTATAATTGTTTGGGTGTATGCATCTTCTCCCTGGGCTGCCACYTTATTGTAGTGAAGAGGTTTGAGTGTTCCAATGATCCTAGAAGTTATGTGATCTGGGTCTTCATGCCCCTGGTAGGGTCACCCAAGGCAAACAGGTCCTACGGGAGGGATCAGACAAAGTGCAGTCCAAACCCTCGTCAGGACGCGGGTCACCGGGGCCGCACTCTGGAGCCAGGCCTGGAGGTGGGGCACGCTGGCGAGCGCCTGGTGGCCGRRCTTTCACCCATGGAGCCCAGTCGGGCACAGCCCGAAGAGGAGACGTGGGTCCCCCTTCCCATGGGCTCACCACCTGTGGGAGGGTTCGTAGGGGTCGGGTGCAATGTGTGTTGGGCGGGCCTTGACGGTCCGATCCTCGGATACAGAAGCTGACAGTAGGGACGTGTAACGTCACCTCTCTGGTGGGGAAGGATCCTGAGCTGGTGTGTGAGGTTGAGAGGTTTCGACTAGATATAGTCAGACTCACCTCAAAGCACCGCTCTGGCTCTGGAACCAGTCTCCTTGAGAGGGGTTGGACACTCTTCCACTATGGAGTTGCCCATGCTGACAGGCGCCAAGCAGGAGTGGGCATACTTATTGCCCCCCATCTCGGTGCCTGAACATTGCGGTTAATCCCGGTGAACGAGAGGGTAGCCTCCCTCCGCATACRTGTGGGGGGGACGGGTCCTGACTGTTGTTTGTGCCTATGCGCCTAACAGCAGCTCAGACTACCCACCCTTTCTGGAGTCCTAGGAGGGGGTGCTGGAGAGTGCTCCTAATGGGGACTCCCTCGTTCTGCTGGGGRACTTCAMCGCTCACATGGAGGAYATGTGAGACCTGRAGCGGTAGATGCTGCTCCTCCACRTCGAGAGGAGCCAGTTGAGGTGGCTCTCGGGCATCTGGTTAGGATGCTTCCTGGACGCCTCCCTGGTGAGGTGTTACGGGCACGTCCCACTGGGAGGAGACCCAGAGGAAGACCCAGGACACGATGGAGGGACTATGTCTCTCAGCTGGCCTGGGAATGCCTTGGGATTCCCCCTGATGAGCTGGCCCAAGTGTTTGGAGAGAGGGAAGTCTGGGTCTCTCTGCTCAGGCTGCTGCCCCCGAGACCCGACCCCAGATAAGAGGAAAAAGAAGGATGGATGATTGAATGCTTTTATACAGTTTTAGCAGGCCGGGATTTTGTTTTAATGTGTCTGAGACTTTATCAGATAAAAGACAGTTTTCTGTTACAACTTGTGACAGAGYAAAGCAGGGCTWTTCAACTAAATTGCTCAGAGGGCCACAGTAACTCAAAGCCAACAACTCAGGGGGCCGGACAACCCTGGGCAATGAAGGGCTGATGATTTGAACACCTTCATTTAATCATGAATTTTTCGGTTATGAAAATATTCTTGCAACAAATGTGAGACCATCTGTGTGACAGATGAAGCTTGGACTAAACTGAGTCATGAAACAGGATAATAATCCTAAACAGCTGAAAATCAGATAAAAAAAGCGAAGAATCAAACAACAGTGAAGTTAAAATAGAGACTTCCATCWAACTGAAATGTCGCAGTGGGATCTGAGAAGAAAATGTCATTAATTCCAGCACAGCCAGGTGAGAAACAGTCCTACATAAAACAAGGTTCAACAAGCTGCTGGACTTTTATCAAAATGTTAGTTTAGCTTCATTTGTTTTTAATATAAATAAAAGTGTTATGTGCTTTTGAACACTTAAGTTTGATGACATGTAGAGCCCACAGAATGTYATTTGTTTAAATGTCCTGATGTGTGAAATGTAATTGCTTTAAACCGAGCTGCTGTGTCACAGTTTAACCACAAGAGGGCGATATYAGGGCATTTCAAACAGCTGAACCAGAGAGGTGAAGTTACCACCAAATCATTTAGGTCAAAAATAAATCAGCATCGACTCACATGGTTGCAGGTGACCGAGTGCGACGATTCAGCTTCTTCTTTGTCCTGCTGTGGCCTCTGGTGACCCAACATCCAAAGGTCAACCCTCATCTTCGTCAGATTCATCCCTCGCCGCACACCCCATCACTTCCCCCTTCGGAGACCARTCTTCAATCTTTTCTTCCAATTACCCAAACTTCAATTACTCAGAAAGAGCATGCCGTCAAATTGGCAATTGGCCTCTTGTGCATTAGAGCAATTAGTGGGGATATGAGGTTTCCTGCCACATTCAACCCATTTACTGGCCATTAGCTCCACATGCAATTAAAGCCTGTTCCAGATTGTTTCCCCCTTGGCAGCCTTGAGTAAGTTTGTAGGTGAAGCTTATCGCACCGAAGATTTTAGACTGAAGGAGCAAGAAGTCAAGAATTAACAGCACTGTACAGCCGGCCAGGACGTTTTAATCATGAAACATCACCGCTCCCATCAATCGTTGTCTGCACGAGCTGATGTTCCACCGAGGAGGGCAACTTTCTGGGTGTTATCAAAGTTTTGCAAATGTCTGTTTAAACTCCCAGCCATGTTTAATCAAAAAACCTGCTTTATCTCCGGTGCTTTTCGTGTGTGCACRGTTAAAATTAGACAAACACTGAAAAGAAACGATAAACCGGTGACACTATCTCAGAAAAACGACTGACACAATAGAACCCAGCTCCAGAACATTGTGTAAAACTTGCACGATTCTGCAACGCCAAAATGAAATAAACCATCCAAAGACCAGAATAAAAACCAAACAGTTTATTTATTATATACATTCAATAATAATGAAGAGAATAAACAGAAGGCAGACACAAGGATGGCAAAATAAAACGTGAGAAAACACACTTTACTGTCACTTGTTTAAAAAAGGCAAAAAAAATCATTTGGTTAAATGAGTTTTTAGGAGCATGTGACAGAAAGAAAAACCTTCACATGCAATTCAAACCCATTTWTTAATTGCTGTACAAAACCTCCTACAGGGCTGACTGAGCACACGATCGAGTCAGAGCTGTGAACCAACACTTGTCTTGGCGTCCTTCAGCCAGACACACCTTTGCGACTGATCTGCAGCCCCTCGAATACGTTTCACTCCAAATGAGCAGAGATGAAAACATGCAAAYGCCAAAACGCCACTGCTAAATCAACCATGGTAAAACAAGCCTTTGCTACACGAGCGTCTCGTCGACATGATCACGGAGTTCTTTTCATTGGAAGGTAAAYCACGGGTGTGCGGATGAGCACAAACTTTAAATATCTCTTGTGACTGGTGATCAGCGTGACGACCAGAGGCACAGAGCAGAGATAACAGATTACTGCAGAGGACGGACTTCTCCTCACATTGGACCTTTGCTAACCTTTCCTTTTCACTCCCATCGCCACACGTCGCACGACCAAATTTCCCTTCCTTCTAAACCCTCCACGCACACCCTCCAGCACTGAGATYTGAATTCATGCACACACTCACACACACAAAGACTGACACTCTTCTTCACTTTGCAAAAACATGCATTGCAACACTGCTGATAATACTTGTAAGGAATATTTAGATAAAAAAGAGGTAATGATCATAAAAAAATAAAACAAAATAAAAAGCTCAGACCTACGACAGTTCCACCGTCGTACGAGACACCCCCCTCCCCTTCCCCTCATGCTGGCTGTACCCCCTAACAGACAGCGGGGGACGTTGTTATTCTGTCAGCTAATGATTAATGGCTCAGCTTCTCACCTTCACCAGCCTCTGCCAACCACCCACGTTATTTCATTGTTCAGAAGGCGGCCACTGCTGAGCCCCTTTTTGACACAAAGTGGACATCCTTTCTGTAATTTGTCCCCGCTGCGAAAAGCCACACTAAGTGTCGTCTTGTTTCCACCTGTCTTCCTGCTCTGATTTCCTTTGTCTCCAGCGAGTCTCATCTACATCGTGTTTACGTGTGTGTGTGTGTGTGTGTGTGTGGGGTGGGGGGCAGTAAGTTCAGAGCGCGAAGCAAATTAAGTTTAACTTTATGTTTGCGGGTCAGACATTCCCAATTGGCTGCGACCTTTTCTGCAGTTGCTGCTTCAATGACACGTCCCAAGGTGCCGCTACAACACTGCACTGTAAAAAAAACAACAACAACACAGCAACATATTGAAATACAGCCTAAACAAAAAGGCAAACATAAGAAATGCATCAGGGTACTTGAAACAAACAAATAAAAAAAAACTTAGCGAGTAAAATAAACAGGTCTGATGTAGTGGGAAAACTGGTTCCTGGACTTTTTTTTTTTTTTTTTACATGTCTTCAGATTCACCAAGAGTAAAACTTTAAAACTATTCAGAGTAATCCTCAGGAGCATGACGAGATTTAAACTACATAAATGCTGCAGAGAACTTGTAAAGTCCAGTAGAAAACTCATAATGAAGTGAAGTCTCTCGGTCTCTTTATTTTCCCGTTCTTCATCGAGTCACTGCACCCCCCCTCTCAGTTCTGCCTGGAGCTGAGCAGGATTGTTTCCACGCAGGTGCTCCTGTTTCCCTTAATCCTTCTTCATGTGCATCCCCACCGTTCTGCCCATCCGATCTGCTGGATCTCTGCGTGACTACTGGAATGTCTTGATGGTTTGGGAGACAAGAAAGTCCTTTTTGGAAGAAGCCAAAAACAAAAACAAAGGAAGCAGCAGCACTGAGGACGAGTCTCTGAAGGGGGCGTGCACTGAATTATTGAAAGTTACTGCAGCTGCTCAGAYAATTAATCTGCAGCACGAATGAACAAAATCTTGGATTTGTTGTAGAAAAAAAAGTTTMGATGCAGCATTTGTTTCTTTTAGTGTGACATTTCATGGCAGCAAAACAAATTGAGGTAATGAAGAAAATAAAGTCTTTTGTTTTCTTTCTTTGTCATTTTCAATTTTTTTTGTTAGTTTTCTGGCTTCTTACAAGATGAAAATGAGCAAAGGAAGTAAAATGATCAGACTTGTTAGCAGACATGATTTCTGTCAGCGAGATGYTCCTTTAAACTGATTGTTCCAGATTCAAGCTTTCAGAAAAAAACAACAACAATAATAATTCCTATTTCTTCTGTACTAAACAATTCAATAGTTGTGGTTTTTTTCAATAGTGTTAACATGAACATAATGTAGTTGGTTGATGTAGTGTTTAAAAACAGAAGTACCTTTTTACATTAGTGCTCTAGCAGTTCTATCGTTTTGTTCAGTTGGAGGAAATGAGAGAGGAAACCGTATACTTGGTGCTGAATGAAACAGGTTCTGTACAGGTCAGATTACAGGAAGTTCATATACTGAGTTATGTGACTCTTAGAGAAAAATGGTTTGTAGTGTGCTGGATCACACAGGAAGATCAGTCCCTCTCCTCCTGGCTCCCAAAGTTGTTTTTTTTTTTAAATCCTGCTCCACAGTTCAAAGCAGCAGACTTCAGAGTTTTAATGTCAGAGACTCTCCTGGCAGTTTCCTTTCTTCTTTGAATCCATGTCAGAAGAGTACAGACGGAGTTGGGCTTGATGATGTGGCGATGGTCCTTCTCGCCACAAAGGGGAAAAAAAAAAAAGTAACTAAACAAAACCACATGAGTTTTCACTAGAGTCTGCCTGCAGAAAAATGGAGGGGAGCTCCTGCCAAATACTGAGCTGGAGAAGAAGGGGTTTTGGAGCAAAGAGAAATTCCTCGGGTGTGGTTTGTGGTTTTAGTACGGAGCAAACCGACTGTATCCTGCTCGATATAAACTGGCCTGAAAGACAGAAAAACAGACATAAAATGAGATCTTCACATTTTACATAAATTATTCTATAAAATGCAACGATTGTATCATTTTTTACTTTATCTAAAGCAATATTAAGTGCTTTGCAGAAGCCCAAAACCTGAATTAAAAACCTAAAATAAACCATATAATCAAACCTTAACCTTTCACCTATAAAAGCACAACTCATGTGTTCACAGTTGTCTGACTGATTACTCACCATGGCTCCGACTCCGTAAGCAGCAGCAGCTGGAGCTAAAGCATGGTACGGGTCTGTAGTGTACACTCGACCATAACTACAAACACGAGACAAGAGTTTCCAGTTAAAACATGAATCTTTTTCRATTATTAAAGCATATTTTATATCAACAGAAAACTCAGTAACTAATGTTTTTAAGAAACAGTTTGAACCATATATGTTGGTGCAGAAAAGCTTTGGAGAACAGTATTACTGTTGGATGGTGTGAGAGGGGGCGAAGGAAAAACAGACCACCGTTAAAGAGAAGAGGAGGTCTCAGGTTTGAACTCWACAGAACTTACAGTGCAGCTTTAAATCTAATCCTGGCTCAGCTTCACATTAATGTGCACCTTCACATATGTGACAAATGGCTCTTTCATACAGTAAACCACTTCAGGCTGACATCGGCTGCCTTCTGCTCGCTCCGGTAGCTGTGTCCCAACTCAGGGGTTGCAGCCTACTTAGACCACAGCCAACGGAGGCCACACCCTTCACAGTCCATGTCCGCTGCAAAAACAGCTGTGAAATGAGACGGTCTAGACCACGCACTAACCCGTTACCATGTTGATGCATTCTATGTCACAAGCCTTCAGACTTAAAATGCATTGGGACATGTATTCACGTTTTTTCACTGGAKGAATAACTTCAAAATTAAAATCGTTACAAATAAATAATAMTGGGAGGAGACCCAGAGGAAGACCCAGGACAYRCTGGAGGGACTATGTTTCTCTGCTGGTCTGGGAACGCCTTGGGATTCCCCCTGATGAGCTGGCCCAAGTGGCTGGAGAGAGGGAAGTCTGGGTCTCTCTGCTCAGGCTGCTGCCCCCACGACTCAACCCCGGATAAGCGGAAAAAAAACAGACGGATGGGCTGACGAATAAATAAATAAAAAAATTWATAATTTGGGCTTAGCTCCAGTTTCAAAACTTGTAGCTGTAATGTATTTAACATTWTATTGCAGCATAAATTTCATCAGCTAAGTTGCTAAACATAAATTTAAAAACAAATTCTTTGGTCTGTGATGAATTTCTAAACTACAAGAAAAAAATCTGTGCCATTTGTGGTTTTTCTGTTTAGTTTGCTGACGGCACAATGAATCCTGGGATATCCTCGGCCAGAAATGATGCTCAGATGCAAACTTTTTTTTTATGGGTTGCATAGGACGAAGCCTCGGGACAGACTTTGGCTCGGGGCAGTGACGTAAGCAGTTGACAAATGCAGACTTCGAAGGATGCAGCCCCTGAATTGAGACACAGCCGATGTGATTTCTGAATCGGCCGAGGCGGCGCTAACTTAAGCTAACCCACGACTGGAGCACTTTGTGCTGAAAAGCGAGGTAGTTMCAGAGCTGTAATGGCAGAGTTTTTCAAACTACAACAACGTCCTCCTTTCAATATGTTTGAACTATCCCTTTAATAACCATTCGAACTGCACAGTAGAATAAATAAAGATCCAGCTAATTGTTGTGCTGCTAAAAATGAWGGTCATCACGCTTCCATTCATTCAGCACGGTGTTTCCTGTGTTAAAGAACAACGCCGTGTTTACGTCCTGTGGCCTTTCCGCAGGATCGTTTCTGTACATCAGGGTTAAGTGTGTGTTTTTGTGCATTTGTGCATGCTTATTTATCAGTGCGTGTCCTGGGCTGTGCCTCACCTGTCACTGTAGGCGGCTGCTGCGGCGGTTGCTCCGGTTACGGCTGCCGGCTGGGCGTAGCGATAGGCAGCAGCAGCGGCGGCTGCAGCAGGGTAGCCTCCCTAGAGGACACACACACACACACACACACACCACAACTAACTGGCATGTTTCAAGTGAATGAACTTTACAATTAACAAACATCTGCATCAAATACTACTTTTATTTTGCTTACTGGTATCAAAACTTTATAGGTAAATAATTATATTGCATATGAATGAGAGGAGGAGGAGTATGGTGTTGGATGTGGGACAAGAAGTGTTTCATCAATGAGACAGAGAYGGAGGAAATTAAACTGTAAAACCACTAGATGAGTAGAAGGAAGTAAAAACAGTAGAAGACAAAATGCTCACTAAGATGAGAACATAAAAACTACTGATGGGACAGAAAACAACACCTACAGTCTGAGAACACTAATGGATGCTAGAGTTGAAATGTTTTGCTCTCAGACAGTGTTCAACTCACTTGTTATTATAATTATCTCTTTTTAAAATGAAGCGAGACAAAAAATAAAACAAGGGAAAGAATCGCACACAAACACATCCACACAAGTCTAGACTGACACTAAGAATCATCTTCTCGCATTAAGACTACATGCATGACCCAAAAAGCAAACACACCACCCCACTGCATTTGAACCTGATGTGAATAGAGATCAGCAAAGCACAACAGAAACACCCGAGCGCTCTCTGAGACGCCTGCAGGACACAGAGCAGAAGCAGAAGGGGGAGGAGCAGGAAACGGGCTTATTAATGGGAGAAAGCAGCGCTCTGCAGGGGTGAGTGGAGGGAAGAGGAGGATGAGGAGCAGTAATATGGTTTGTCTGCATGCAGCAGCTGATCGGCACATGCTTCACTTATTATCCGAGGAAGGCCAGTTAATTCAGGAAGAGAGCACGTTCTCCATTTCAACCAGAGCCCCTGGAGGCAGACGGCTTTAAGAGCATCCCACGCTGCTGAATTCAAAACCTYCCAGTTGAAGGAAATAGTTCCAGATGCACAGTTTAAACCATCAGGATTGCATCAAAATTTGATTACAAATGCAATAAACACTTTTATGCAAATATGGTTGAAATGTACACAACTGGGTTTAAAAGGTAAATTATTAGAGCAGAGCTGGGATATTATTTTTCTGCAGCAGTTTTTGTGACAAAAAGCACTTGGATTGAATCGATTAAATCTCATATAATCCTAACAAAACAAACAAACAGACATTTGGAGTTGTAAAATTCGCTAAGGTTGGAAAATAAAATAAAATTTCTAGAAATACTGCTCACTTCCAAGTAGGGAAATTTTCTTAACAGTTTAAATTTGGATGTACTGTATTTACTAGGGGTGCAACAACACATGCACCCGTATCAAACCGTTCAATACAGTGCTTTAGGTTCAATACACATTTGTATCGAACAATACAGATACTTTAAATTTATTTTATCAGCTTGTCTWCTGAAGAAGCTCTGTGTTGAAGGATCAGTGGATCTGTGCTCGACTACTCCACCTAGGCTGCATTTTTGAGCGCAGATCCACTGAAAAACTTGCTGTTTCAGCAACATTTAATTTAAAAACTGTACTTTTGAGGTTAAACAAATGTTAATAATTAATTTAAATATATTACAAGTTAAAAAGAGCATGGAAATTTTTCTTTTTTGTTTCGAAAAAATATTGAACCGTGAGACTAAAGTATTGAAACGAACCGAATCGTGAATTTTCTGTATCGTTGCACCCCTAGTATTTACTGTATTCATGCATAATACTAGAAATTTAACCCTAAAAATCATCCATACAGTAGGGGGGTAGTATTATACACGGGTTATTGATGATTAGATTTTTCTTTGCTTTTTAAGCTCAAAAATGATGATCGTATTATACATGAATAAATATGGCAAATTTTTGTTTTCATACAAAGAAATCTCTTTTCTAAGCAGAGACTAAGTCTTGGCTGACTTTTTGCAGGAAGCTTGTAAAAAGAAGCAGTGGTTGTGCATTTCAAATACTTCCTGAATGCAGATGTACTTCATAATTATGCATCGAGCATTTACAGTCAGGTGTTGTATAAAGATATGCTGAAAGGCATGCCTGAATATGAGGTGATAAACAATTTCCCTGGTTTTAGCTGAGAATGTGTAATTAGCATCATCTGTCTCCAGAAGTCAGACAGAAAATTTTTACACATTTTTTACACCTTCTCATTGTACATCTTGGAATTATGAACTATTACCACCTACAAATAAATCTCTGTGCAAAATTCAGTGTTTAAAATTTGTAATGCATGTTTTAAATTTTACAAMCAGGATCAGTTCACATCTTCCTCCAGTTCAGACAGAAAATGAGACGAGACACTTTATGAAGGAGACATGAAGACACTTTAAACCAGCCTGAAAATCACAATAATCAGCTGCACATGTTAGCATTAGCCTTGATGGGCTCGAGTCTTGGCTCAGGCAGCAGTGAATTATGGTCCATTTCTACCAATGGAGTCCAACTTCTGTTCACTACTTGAACTGAACTGTGACAGGTTTCTGTGGCACAAGTGGGTAATTCAAACAAAGCCAAGGTAAAGCTAGTCAGAGCTAACCCACCTCTGTATTTATAWTAATTATTATTTTCTTACTCAGAGGAAGTTTGTTGAACCTCCTTCAGTAAAATCCCACTGCTACAGATGTGAGGCATTAGGTCCAGCCTACTCTCCCGAAAACAATCATTTTTTAAAGTTTTTTATTTTACTAATTACAGGCAAAAATGTTGGAAAAATGCATATTTGAACATACATCAGCAAGAGTCAACACCTGGAAAAAAATCATTCAAGGTGTATAGATTTTATTTTATCAACAACACTGTCGTTCATTTACATGGAGGGGGCTGATTTTCCTCACTATATGACAACAGTGCTCGGACTCGCAGGACCACAAGGTAAAACACATTTTTTAAAACAATAATAAGAAATAAAGCAGCACCATTTAGTGCTTGATTAGGAGATTTATATCGACAAGGACTCATTTAGCTCTCATGTAGCATCATGCTAGCAAGTGTGTGATCTTTTGGACTACACAATTCACTAAGAATAATCACATTAAACATCTAGTGAAATGAAAAAGCACTAAGAAATTTGAACGACAAAGACTTTTTTATACTGTTTTCATTTCCTCAGTGGGGATCTTGATGCTATTTTAAAACCAATAAATAATAAGAACTATTTTATTAAACACCAACTACTCTCATCCAACAAGTAAATGTATTTTTCTGTGCAGGATTAGCTCCATTGTTGGTGTTTAAAAGAGTACAACACTAGTGTCAAAGTTAGGAAATGCAASACATCGTTATTCCTATATAAAATAGGGGTGTAAGAAAGTATCGATACACTGAAATATCGCAATATCTCATTTCCCGATACTGTATCGATATTCTAAAGCCCTGTATCGATTTTTAATTAAGGTTTAAAATGTCTACCTTCTTGCCAGCCGTTCATTTTTATGTTGTAGTTCAGCCTCTGACCACTAGTTGGCAGCAGTGAGCCAGCCATTTGGCTCCTCTACCTCTTGAGCGCCAGAGAGTAAGGGTAGCATTAGCATTGTAAGTAAACATTAGCTTTTCTTTTTATTTCAGGAAGAGGTTTTTATTTAATAGAATTTTTGGACAAAAAAAAATCACAATATATCGCAATATATCGGGATATATCGTATCGTGACCCCTCTGTTATGATATGTTTCGTATTGCCAAATTCTTGCCAATACACAGCCCTAATATAAAAGTCTCAAAAGTCACAAAAAACAAGCAGAAAAAGCCCAAACTGCCACCATATTACATCAGTGACTCTGATAAGAGTATGCAAACATTTGACCATAAATGCAGCAAGAAAATTACATAAAATACATTATTTTTTTTCCCAAACTAAGTGAACCRAACAAGAGCGACCAGGTTCTCTTTGGTAAGACTGAGAAGGAAAAGTCTAAGCAACACAGTTTAGTATTTTAGTGAACAAACACGTTTTATTCCCACAACTAAAAATAAAATAAAATTGTGAGTTAGTAGAAAAACAAAGCAAACTTGGAAGCAGCTTTAATTCTCTTTAAAACATCTAAAAGACGAAATGTTCCAGATCAGATCAGAAGATGATTCGTAAGATCAGAGGAGGTAAAGTAATGCACACTGTGGGTTTGGTGGTGAGTTGACCCTACCTGAGACAATCTGGGACTAAGGACTGAGTCCTGAAACACTAGTCTACAGAGAGAACAGAAACAACCGTCGTCAACCTGGATACACACACGCGCACACACACACACACACGCACAGATACACGCTGCTTCATCTGCCTACAGAGCAGCCTTCGTACTGGTGTCGCCTAYCTTTGCAATCAGCTTATACTATTTTAAAACCTAACCGTAGTTTTTCCAGTTGGTGCACAAAAAGAAATGTACTGCAAACAAATAATCCTTGGACATAAATCACCTCAGATTATAAACAGTCCTGTGCAAATTTGTGGAGCATCTAAAGATCAGTTCACCATTCTGCAGGCAGCTCTGTGCAGCACATGACTGGATGCACATGCAGAATCAACCCCAGAGGAGGGACAAAAAAAAAAAAAAAAAAGAAAGCTGTGAAGGGAGGGACAGAGATGTTGTGTGGGTTGCAGGTGAATTTACTTACATATAACTCTGCAGCTCCATAAAACCCATCCTGATACACCACGCTGAGAGCGGGGGGGAACACAGCAGAGGCACAGAGAGGGGAGGGGAGGGGTGCAAACGGAGTGGTGCACAGTCCCAAAAACCCAAGGTGGAGGAGGATCACAACCCAGCATAAACAGGAGAGGGAGAAAAAGAGAGAGGAGAAAGAACGAAAGAAAGAAAGAGAAAAAGTGGTTATTTCACACCCATGCAGCATGCAGAGGAAATACAACTTCCATTTAAACTCCACAAGTGCAGCTAAAAAAAAACATTAAACAATGCACTCATGGGGATAATACATTAAGTTCACTGAACTGAAACTATAAACTGCTATTGTTCCCCTGTTACAAGAAGACCAGTGCAATAAAGGCCACTTTGATTGGGTCCTTTTATAGGAAATGATGTCTGGAAAATGTAGTTTTCACTGGGACCAATTTGGAGATGGTATTTCCTGCATCCTCCATGTTCATCTTCTTGTGCTTAGTTTAATTATATCATATCAAGTCAACAGCAGACCATAAATGTGTCAATTCTGTTTTGATCAGGAAATTATAGCTGTCTCCACAAGATTAGCCAATCATCACAGCACGACAACATGCACAGAACACAAAGTGATCGGACTAAAACAAAACGACCACAGCAAATCATATGTAGCAAACCTCTGCACGAGGCGGCTACGTTTGTGTAAAGACTGAATGCAGTTTGTGTGTGCTTATGCAAATCTGCTGACAGTGGTATCTGTTTATTTAAATGAACATTTGACGATGCGGTCCCATCAGTGTCACGCTCCAACGGACTGCTTGTGAACTGACTGACAATCTGCCAATTGGACTGCTGAACAGAGTGAAGTGTGAATAATGTTTGATAGGAGAATGAGCACTTCAGTTAGACAAACATCTGTGCAAATAAAAAAATAACTCGGGAGGTAAAGCTCAACAGATTTGCTGAAGAACCACACAAAACACATTCTGAGTTTTTTCCTCTGTTTTACATAAGAACCCTTCAAATCTGGGACAGCTACACAGCTGTTGTTTATTACCCGGGGTAGGCAGGGATGGCAGGCTGAGGCACAGCAGCCCTCATGGCGCTGTAAACAGGCCGACCTCGGCCCCTCAGGTGGGCACCGCGAAACGCTGCGGCGGCTGCTGTCGTGGCGGCAGCGGCAGCTGCTGTAGGGTAGGGAAACCCTGGGACTGAGGGTGAGCAAGGGAGAAAGATGAAGAACAAGAACGGCAAATTTAGAAGAACAGAGACGACAATGGAGGAAGTGAAAACAAATAAATTTGTTCTCTCAGTTAGGAAAAATGCATAACATGACAAACAGAAGGATAATATAAAGACTGAGTTAAATTAGAAAGGTGTGTTATGTTTAAATTTTATTGTTGCTGCAATATCAGTCAGTATCAAAAATGACTAAAACCTGGTTCACACTGCAAGATTTTAAAATTGTTGGTTGATTTTCAGAGACTGAAAGTGCCCCTACACATGACGATACATTTAAAAWTTTTTTTTTTACCATATACCAGGTTTGGTTTGCAGTGTGTGGTGTGTACAGCCACAAGGCAAAGACAACACACCACACTAGGGCTGCCACGATTAAACGATTAATCGACGACTAATCGATTATTAAAATTATCGATGACTAATTTAATAATAGATTAATCGTTTTCTTTTTTATTGTTCTTTACTTTGTTTTTCTCTCCAAACTGCTTTGACACCTTCCACTGCCACATCTGCCTTTCTGTCCTTGACACACATGCACAGTAGTGGTAACTGGGGTAGGCTGTGGACGTCACAAGACATTGGGTATCATGGCTACCCAGCAACGGAGCTCAAAAGTGTGGGAACTTTTTAAGAAAATGAAAGAGAAACCTGTGCAATATCTGCAGAGCAGAACTTGCCTTCCACAGCAATTATTTTTAGTTAGCATATAGCTAAAACCTAACGATGGTTAAACAATAGCAGCTGCATTCTGACGTGATAAGCTGTATGTTTTATATTCAATTAACATATGATCCGATTAGTCGACTAATCGAATAAATAATCGGTGATTAATCGATTATTAAAATAATAGTTTGTGGCAGCCCTACACCACACAAACAGATTTCACTCACCAACATTCAGACGACAGGCAGGAAATCATGCAAAAAATTTCGACATCAAACGTGAGTTCAGAGTAAATAAACATGGCTGACGAAGAAGAAGCAACGGTGATAGTTTGTGGACTATTTTTAACAGAGAAAAAACTATTCGAAAAGACGTCTCTGATATCCACCAGACTTTCTGTGCACCATGGCAGTTGTTTTGTCTTTTGGATTCCCCTGCTTGTTTCCGTCACCTCGCTTTCTGATTGGATACACATCACAGTGATCACGTTGCGAGCTTGTTTGTCCTCATGAAAACCACACACGCTGGAATATCTGGCCAGCATGATGAATATCCCCGACTTAAGGTCAGTGTGGTCCTGACATCCTTCCGAGCCAACTAGATCCTTCTTAATACACCACACACGACAGGAAAATCTTTTAAGACTATCTTTAGAGTCATTAAAATAATCAGGGCATCCTTAAGATTATCGTAAGAGGAAAATTGGGCTAAAAATCGGCACATTTATCTTGCTATGTGAACCAGACATAATATATTGTGGACATTAAAAATATTCTAATRCTGTATATTTAAAAATTTGGATGACTTTCCTTGATGTAAACATCTGATTTTAATTATACAGTGGTTTGCAAAAGTATCCACCCCCACCCATCGTTGCCAGATAGCCAGGAGTTCACTTTAATTTTAATTTGATAATAAGTGAGAATTACACTAAACTATTTTAAATGAAATGGGGATAAATACCATGTTTTAACTATTTCCAAGAACATTCAACTTCTTGTCATTTACCCACAGTACTGTTGCTTCAGCAGTGTGTTTAGGCTCATAGTCCTGCTGGAAGACTCAAATATGTTCCTTTCATAAGTTTCTCCATGTTTTTCTTCAACCATCTGTTCTTTAACCCTGACCAGTCCCTTCACCCCTGCTGATGAGAAACATACCCATATGATCACAGCACATACTGTAAAATAGTCTGCCTCTTTTTAAAAAAAAAAGCAATACTGTTTTTTTCCTCCGTTCTTCCAGGAAGCTCGGCGCCGTGTAGTTTATTGTTTTTACAGACCGGTACTCTCCACCGCACAGAAGAGCTGCTCAGCTCTGTCAGGGTTCCTTTTTGCCTTGGTTGCTTCTCTGATTAATGCCCTCCTTGCTGTTGTAGCATGTGTTCAAATAAGGAAAACAAGCCAGCATGGGTAACAATCTTTCCATTTTCTAATAATGGATTGAATGGTGCCCTGTGTTTGGATTTTTTCTCCTCCTACTCTTCCACAACTTTGTTTCTGACCTGTGTGAAGAGTTCTCTGGTCTTTACTCCATCTCCTGTTTGGTAGCATTTATTACTCAGAGGTGTTGATTCTGGGAGCAGGTGTATTTCTACTGAGATCAAATAACACCAAATTGCTCGGCTGAGGCTTCAAAGTAAATGTGAGTCCATGAGCGTGTCCCTTTTTATTTTATTTATTTTTGCTTTCTATTTTTTTTGAAGTACTTAAAACATATTTCTTCTACTCCCTTCACAGTTTTCTGTAGAATTTTCCATTCAATGTAAAGATGAYAAAAATCAAGGGATGCAAAGGGACTGAATAATTTTGTAATCCACTCTTTGAGATATTAAAACACAAGGAGAGCTTCATGATGTTAGGAGAGACAATGAGGCTTTATCACAACTGATATTGTCATCAAAATATACAATATTGTTGCAACTGATTTTTTTAAAATATTGTACTACCCTAATGTAAATGTACTCAGCAGACAGATGGAAGCTGGTCTTACCTGCATAGAGCTCTGGTCCATACACAGCCCCCACCATGGGACTCAGTTTCCACCCTGCTGATAGTCGAACAGAAAAAAGATAAACAATGAACAGTAGTAGCTTTTTAAAAAATAWAATTATTCCAACATACCTGCAGTGGATTTTGTCACTTATCATTCATGTAGTATTACACTCTACTTTGTTTTCTAATTCATGATTTAGCTTGAAAAATATTGTGATGGTTTTTCAATAGATTTTACTCTCATAATGCTGCAGCACAAACTCCACTTTATGGCGACGGCATGTGTGTGTTAACCTACACAATTCAAGCCAGCAGCAGAGACGACGAGTATTTTTACCTTCGGCTGTCTCTCCCTGTGTACCTGTGCTGTTTGGGCTATTAGACCAGCTAGGGTTCATTGTTAGTGTGCGTCATTGCGGTTGTTACCATAGGGAAGCGTGCTGAGAGCCTCTCCGTTAGGGTAGGGGCTGACCATTTTCTTGTTAGTCATCACCCTGGCGGTGGCATTATTCACCTGGGGGTGGAGTAGCAGACAGTCAAGCGCACAAACACAACAGAAGGGGAAAAAATAAAATAAAATAGCAAACACACTCAAAATGCAGGCCGAGGCTGATGTATGTGTATGCTTTTAGGAAAACAATTTAACCAACACGTCTAGAATTGTGATGAGGTATCATGACTGTCTCCTTTCGCTGCACATTTAGAAAACTGATTGCTGTATTTGCTGTGTCATTAAAGTGATTACTGGTGGTAATGGTCAATGAGTTGTGTAAACATTTAATTTTCATTTTCAGTCATTGTGTTTTGTGCAGTCAGCATTTATCATTAGGAATGACATAAATTTAGATGTGAAGACAAATGTTCAAGTCATGGCAAACTTAAAAAAATCAATTTGGGGAAGCAAAAACCTGGCATATTTTTGAGGCACTCTCAGTTTGAAAACGTTTCTTATGGTGAGAAGCTAAAACTTGCAAAATCACACAGCCACAGTCAGAGCAGAGCAAAGGGCACCTAATTAACTTTATCTCTTTAACTAACAATTTAAATTATGCTGCGCTCTCCGCTCCACATAAGTGGGGAGTCAAAACTCTACTGCTGTTTTTGCTTTCTTTTAAGACAAAACTCTCAAGCGAAGATAGACTTTTCAACTAACTTACTTAAAAAACAACCCTGCTCTACTTTTTACTTATCTGTTTTATATCAGAACTAAGAAATCCAATTTCTTCAGTTGGAAATTCCAACTTTAGACTAGTTGTGATTAAAAAGGGAATTATTTAAAAATATTATATATAGCAAAACTGCATGCAAGGCAATTTTATATACTTGAGAGTAAAACTACCAGTGAAGTATTTAAAAAAAAAAAAAGGTTTGTGGGTTTTCTATGTTCTTTTAATAAAGTGTTGCACTTCAAGGGTTATTTATCGTTTTGTGTCAGAAAGACACCTGGAAGAGAGTGGAGGAGTGAAGTCTAGTGTTGCAATAAGCTGCAAAAACCTCTAAAGACGGGACTGAACGGTAATTTAAACATTTTAATTAAAGCAGTTAAAAGACTTTTCTTTAACGCCTGTGGAAATTCCTTAATTTTGAAAAGGGTCTTTTTAAAAAAAAAATCAAAAGATATTTATATTTTATTTTGCAGGTTTATTTCATTCCTTTACTTGATGAAAATTCAAATCTGAACAGATGTAACAGGAAAATGTACCTCTGAAGAACAGTAAAATAAGCTGAATATATTAATTTATAGTTCACTAGTTAGGTTCATTAACTGTTTTAGCAATAAACTGAATAAAAACGTAACTTTCCGTCATGCAGTAAAAGCAAACAGCATGGTGGAGATTTAGTTATTGACTGAAGAGATGTAAGATGGTGGCACAGCAACGACAACTGAGCTGTACATATTTTTGCATGTGCATATGAATGTGTTAAGTGTTTTTAGGTGTGTGTATTTGTGCGTAGATTTTCTGTGCAATCTTGCTGACATTTCGTTCTAATGTTTAAGCCTTTGAATCTAAGATGGCTTATAATTTTCTGTCTGAGCTTCAAAGGCTCCCACTTTTGTAGCTTGATCTATCCTCATCTTCCTTTGATGGTCTTTAAAAGACGGAAACTGTAGCTCTGAAATAACCCACACTGTCTGAGTGTGCCGTTGAAGTTGCACATTTGACTGTTTGGCAAGCTAAAGATTAACGACCTTTTGGTTCGAGATGAGCAGAGAGGGTGTGCTTGTGTGCGACAAAGAAAGAAAAGAGTGAGAGGCTGAGGAATAAGAGTGCTTGTGTGTGCGTGTGTACGCTCTGCACTCCCGTTGGGGAATCATTAAAGCCCTGACTGCGGTGTGCATCGCCTCTCTTGGTGAGTCATGTTCTTTATCTGAAGAATTTCATTCAAATGGAAATGAGGTTTACCTCATTTTCCCCTCGTTGCAGATGACAAGGTCAGTGGCAAATGACTCAATTAACCTAGCCTATCTGACACAGCTGTCCACATGTATCAAAATGATGTTAACATTTTCGCAAGTTAAGCAAACATTTATCTATTTGGTTAGATGTTTTACATCGACAAGTTATTACCAATGAAATTTAGCCTATGTTAATGGAAAATCTCTATATGCTTTATTACATGTATTTCATGCGTAAATAATGAACTTGGGTTGAAATGAACACATGCAAATCAACAGAGATCAATATGAAAAGGCAAATCTCAAAGTGTTAATGATTTAAAAAAAATGAAACATTCATCTTTTCTCATCCCACTTTTGCCCTCCCAGTCCAGCCTGGATGATGAACCCAGACAAAATTAAACCACTTTTCCATATGAAACCAAACTTGTGGGGTTTACGTACCTAAAAGAATAATATATTTATTGTTTAAAGAAAATACAACAGAAAGGGAGAGAAAGAGGGGGTGCAAAAACATTTGATTGACAAAATTAATAATCATATCATAACACAGAAATTACACACAGCCACCTACAGGCGCATCACATGACCAAGAGTGAGTAATAAGTCGAAATAAACAAATTAAAAAATAATTCAGCCAATCAGCAAGCGTCGGATGCAGCATTGCGACCAATCAAAACAATCGTAGCACTCCCACATCAAACACATACGAGACGAAGATGAGACGGGTACAGGTAAGGGATGCAGGTGAGAAGTAAAGAGAGAGAGCCAGTCCATATTCAAAAACAAAAATAAACAAAAAAAAACATGGGGTAAAATGAAAAAAGAAATGGGGAGAAAATTCTAACAGAGACACAGAAAACAAACATAAATAAACTTATAATTACTGTTTAAAAACAAAACAAATATACCAAGGTGCATCATTCAAATAAAGCGATTAGATTTGGTGACCATTCTCCTGAAAATCTCATTATGTGTGGTGGGTTGAGAAACAGAGCACCAAAGGATGGAGGGAACAGAGACAGAGAGATCCAGAGGGAGAGAGAAAGATAAAGAGAGAGTGAGAGAGAGCAGTCCTCATTCCCAAAAAAAGGAGAGAAACAAAAGAAACATGAGACACTATGCCAGGCATTAAAACTGTGTGTCACAAACTAAGACCAGTACACTACAGCTACTACTATCACTACTCATACACAAGACAGTCCACTACAAAGAAAACCAAACCAAAAGACATAAAAATAATGGCAGCATAATAAGAGACCCCAAAACAGCGAGGTAAACCCCATATCGGTTTAGAGATGCATATGGTAACAAAGAACCAGCAGATTTGGTGAGTGACCAGAAGCCAGTTGCACCAGCTGCTCGTTGTTTTTGTTTTTTTGATCAATTTTAAAGGGTTGCACCACAAATCTGTCTACTTATATGCTTTCAAAGCTACATAACTATTTTAATGCACTTTTAAAAGTGTTGTTTTTATTTTAACACCAGGTAAAATGTTTGAAGTACAGTACAACCATTTTATTCTGAATTTTTTTTTACAAATAACATCCCAGTTACTTCCACAGTGATCATGCATTATAAATGTAACTTTCCAAAAAAGGAAGTGGTTCAGACGAGGACAAAGAGCTCCTCCCTCTTACCAAAATATGTTCACTGCTGTTTCCAAAATGGGAAGATGGTGTAAGTAATTTATTTTAAAATAGGGGGTTGGTGGCCCAGTGGCAGCATGTATCTTTTCTATTTTGTCTGGAAGTAATTCTCAGAAAATGCCCAGATATTGGTCATGACATTATGTAACTGAGCTGCTTGCCAAAACTAGCATTGGCTTAAAGTCCATTTATCCATTAAGAATACCTACTTCCATCATTTATCCTGAGGATCGCATGAGGCTGTAGCTTGTCTCAGTTAAACACAAGGTGGATTATGGGCATGTGAACAGTACCAACAACAAGGCATGTTTATATTTAAACTAAGTGCCTATTTAATGTAATCAAACAACCAGACTTGGATCTACACTTGGCAAAAAAAGTTAAGCAGCCTGACGTGATGATTAAACTTGGATACAATCTGGTCTGCATGCAGACCAATAATGGTTGTGTAAATGAAGCAGAGCTAGCACCAGAGGGAATAAGCAGTGTTACGAAAGGAGCAATGGAGTTATCAGCCAGTTTCCTGACAGCCAGTCAGAACACAATGCTTTGCAGACACCATTATCTGCACTTGTTGAAGTTTGATAGTAGTTGCTTTGTGGGTTTACATAAGAACAGGTGGTTGTTTTGTGAAATACAGTACTTATGATGTGGGACTTACATATGTCACACTGGCACAATACATGAAAGATGGTTCTGATGGCCCAAAWCACCACATCAAGGAAGGATCATTGTATTATGCACCAAGCATTACAGAACCCCAGGTCATCGGCACCTGCTGTTTGGACACAGGCATTGGACTCTTTACAGCTCCATGTCTTGACTGGGATTCTGCTACCAACAGAACAGAGGCAACTGGATTTGAAATGCTGCTGCTACCAGAAGGCATGGACTGAAGAATGGCATTGGTAATTTTTAAACAATGAATCTTAGTTCTGCCTTTCCACAGATGACAATCGTGTGCACATATGTGATACTGAGAGGAGAGGATCAATCCTGCCAATGTTATGGAGAGACACACCTGTGTTACTCTTGCACTATGGTGTGAAATCAGGTAAACTCCAGTAGTGATTCAGGGGAACCCGATGGCACAGTGTTGCGTCAATGACATCTACGCACCCCCCCACAAGATAGCATCATTACAGTCTTTCAAAAAAGACAACACCCGTCTGAGTTACAAGTCATCTGCCTGTGTCATGTTGAGGTCTCTCTGTGGACCGTCAGGTCCCCTGATCTTTTCCCACTGGAACCTGCAAGGGATCAACTGATAACTCCATCCCACTGCTTGTTTGCTGGATTTGGAGGGCCAGTTACCACAGCTGAGGGCCGACTTGCTGGTGCAGAGGGTACAATGACTATAGGACTCCATTCTGCACCAAATCAATACTTGTAACCAGGCCCGAGGGGGTGTCAACTTATTCATAGGGGACCAGAAGGTGTCTGCACTAAAAGCTGCATTATCCATTT